TTTTTTTTTTTTGAGATAGAGCCTTGCTAAGTCATTAAATTGCCTAGGCCAGGCTAAAACAAATCCTCCTAGGGGATGGGGATTTAGCTCAGTGGTTCCAGCACCTGCCTCGAAAGCACAAGGTCCTGAGTTCAATCCCTGGTACCAAGAACAAAAATTAAAACACAATCCTTCTGCCTCAGCCTCCTACAGCACTACAATTACAGGTGTGCTCCACCATGTCTGTCTCATGTTTGTCACTTTGAATACTTTTCTGTGTGTTGGGAGTATTCAAAATCCTCTTACTAGCTATTTTGAAATATCGTTGCTGTCACCCGTAATTACCCTGCTGTACTACAGAACACTACAAGTTATTTCTCCTACCCAGCTGCAGCCCAGCACCTTTTAACCATCCCATGTCTCTATCTCCTCCTCCTCACATCCTTCCAAGGCCCTAGTAACAATTATTCTGTTGTAGGTCAGGCATGGTGGCGCATGCCTGTAATCCCAGCCCTTGGGAGCCTGAGGCAGGGGGATTGCTGTGAGTTCAAAGCCTAGGCTACATACAGAGATCCTGTCTAAATAAAAACAGAAAAAAAGGACTGGGGATTTAGCTCAGTGGTTTCGCTGTCTGCTGCGAAAGAGTAAGGACCCAAGTTCAATCCCCGGTACCAAAAAATAAAAATAAAAAAAGTTATTCTGTTGTTTTGGGTTGAGGGGATTGGTTTGGGCTTTTTGGTTTTGGTTTTGGTTTTTTGGTTTTTTGAGACAAGGTCTTGCTATGTAGTTCAGGCTGGCCTTGAACTCACTATGCAGCCCAGGCTAGACTCGAACTTTCAGCAGTCCTCCTGTTTCAGCCTCCCTACTACTGGAATTATAGGCATGCACCACCACACCTGGTTTATTCTATTTTCTACTGGGGTTGTGTCTTTAGCTCAGTGATAGAGCGTTTGGCTAGCATGTGCAAGGCCTTGGTTTGGATCCCCAACACTTCAGGGGAAAAAAATAAGGTATTGAGTCTGGTGTGGTGGCACTCACCTGTAATCCCCATACTCAGGAGGTTGAGGCAGGAGGATTGCCATGAGTTGGAGGCCAGCCTGGACTGCAAAGTGAGTTCAAGGCCAGTTTGAACTACATAAAGCGGTCCTGTTTTTTTTTTAAAAAAAAAAAAAGGCAGGGAATTTAGCTCAGTGGTGCCACCACCTGCCTCGTAAGTGCAAGGTCCTAAATTTGATGCCTGGTACCAAAAGGGGGGGGGGGGGATGTAGCTCAAACAAGCCCAAGGCCCTGAGTTCAATTCCCAGTACCAAAAAAAAAAAAAATTCTCTATTTCTTTGAAATTAGCTTCTACATATAAGTGAGAATATGGGGTATTTATCTTTCCATGTCTAACTTCTCAACAATATTCTCCAGTTCCATCCATGTTCTTGCAAATGACAGTCTTCTTTTCATGACTGAAAAGTATTCAATTATATGTATGTACCATATTTTCTTTATTCATTAATCCTTCAGTGGGCCCCTAGGTTGATGCCATATCTTCAACTAGCAATAATCATGCCTCAGATAAACTTCATTGGCTGTGATACTGCCACTTACTGGGCAAAGCTTGTGCCATATCTTTGCTATGAATAGTGCTGCAATAAATGTGCCAATGCACAAGCCTCTTCAACACCCTGAGTTCAGTTCCTTTGGATATATACCCAGTAATGGGATTCTGGATAATATAGAAGTTCTATCTCTAGTTTTTTGCAAGACCTCCATACTGTTTTCCTTAATGGTTGTACTAATTTTTATTTCTACCCAAAGTGTATGAGAATCCCCCTTTCTCCACGTCCTTGCCACCCTTTGTTACATTTTGTCTTTTGTTTTGTTTGCTTTGTTTGTTCTGAGACAGGGTCTTGCTATGTAGTTCAGGCTGGCCTTGGACTCATTATGTAGCCCTGGCTAGCCTGGAACTTAATGGTGAGAATGCAAACATGCATATACTAATGAAAAATAAAAACCAAAAGGAAAAAAGCACAGTGATCCTCATCCTTCAGCCTCCCAAGTGCTAGGATTACAGGTGTGTACCACCAGACCCAGTTTATTTTTTGTATTTTTGTGTGGTCCATCCGGTCCCCCCAGCCCCGTAGTGGGGATAGAACTCAGGACCTTGCACTTGCAAGGCAGGTGCAGCACCACTGAGCTAAATCTCAGTCCCTATTTTTTGTGTTTTTGATAATAGTCATTTTAACTGGGAAGAAATGGTATCTCACTGTGGTTTTGATTTGCATCTCCCTAATGATTAGTGATGTTGACCATTTTTTCATATACTTATTGGCCATTTGTCTATCTTTTTTGACTTCTCTTGAGAAATAACTATCAATTTATTTATGGAATGTTTAACTGAGTCATTTGTTTTTTCACTATCATGTTCCTCATGTTCTAGCCATATGCCTGGGGTTTTTTTTTTTTTGGTACTGGGGATCGAACTTGGGACCTTGTGCTTTTGAAGCAGACAGTGGCTAAATTTCTGGCCCTCGTATATTCTAGATATTAATTCTTTTTTTTTTCCCAGTACTGGGGATTGAACTCAGGACCTTTCACTTGCAAGATAGGCAAGGTGCCACTGAGCTGAATCCCTGCCCTAGATATTAATTCTTTTCTTTTTTTTTTTTTTTTGGTACTGGGGATTGGCCTCGGGTCCTTGCACCTGCAAGGCAGGCGGCAGAACCACTGAGCTAAATCCCCGGCCCTAGATATTAATTCTGTATCAGATAAATAGCTTTCCAAATACATTGTCCCATTCTATAGGTTGTCTCTTTACTTTCTTATTTCCTTGGCTAAGCAAAAGCTTTTTAAGTTTAATGTAATTCCATTTTTCAGGTTTTGCTTTTTGTTTCTTGTGCTTTTGGGGTCATAGCCAAAAAAATTTTGCCCAGAGCAATGCCCTGAAGCATTTTCCCTATGTTTTCTTCTAGTTGTTTCATAGTTTGGAGTCCTACATTTAATTCTTTGATCTAAAAATATTTTTTAGGGCTGGGGATTTAGCTCAGTGGTTTCTCTGCTTGCTGTGCAAGCGCAAGGACCCGAGTTTGATCCCCAGTACAAAAAAAAAATTTTTTTTTGGTTGATTTTTGTATATGGTTGAGAGTTAGGGGTTCCTTTTCATTTAACCCTCACAT